GGTACCCATGTAACGTAGTCGGTCTATTCTTTGATGAAGAAGAATGAGCTTGGTTTTCCAATTTCAGGGCTGCAATGGTACTCGTCATTTCTTCTACCTCAGCGTAACGCTCATTGGCCAGTTGATGCATCTCGGTCAAATGGCTTTCGGGAATGGAATAGTCAGTCGCACCTTTGATCACGAGTCTTCTGTCGTTCAACATCTTGATGGACTTACCTGCATCCCTGTGAGCACGCTCAAGAGAGTCCTTTTGGGCTTCAAGTTCAGTATGAAGGCGAGCAATAGCTGTATCCCTGTCATTGAGTTCATTGTGCAAACTGTCAAACAAGGTACTCGTCACATTCGGATTGTTGCTCATGTGATCGATCTTGTTCAGAGCATCTTGATATTTCTTACCAGTTTCATCAAAGTTTCGCTGGAAGACTTTGAGCAGGTCCTCAGTGTCAATGAGTTCAGATCTATTCTGCAAGTACAACTTGTCAACCTCAGCCTTAGATTCCTTCAAGCTGTCACGTTCACGCACGGCTTGCATGTACATCTCATAGAGAGGTCCTCCATGCGGTGATCTGCTTGGTGATGATCTTCTGGCTCTTCTGGCTTGTTGGCATGAAAGTTCATGATACTGATTCTTCGATTCAGTCAGTTGTTGTTGCATTCGATCTAAAAGACTTTGTTTCATGTGTAGTTCAGAACGTAGTCCCATTATCCTCATGTCCCGCATGCCGCCTGATTCAGCTAGAGATTCTTCAGAAACCCTGTTCTCAGAAATCGCTAGTCGAGATTGTAAGTTCTCACTGTGGATCACCTGTAATCGAAGCTGTGATTCTTCCAAAGCTAAGTGATGTTCACATTCTGCATAACGGTCATGTTCAGATCTTATGTTACTACGGAACTCCTTCATGATCTCGTCCCTCTTCATGTCAGCAGCATCTAACTCAGTTTCCAGTCGCCTGACATTCATGGCCATGGTGTGCTTCATCGTCTGTTTCTGATTGGCAACCTCGAGCATCTCGATCTGCAAAGCACATGTTTGGTCATTAGCATAGCCGACTGCTAGAGCTTCTTGCTTGGCATTCATCTCTGCGTTTTCCAGTTCCAGTCTGAGTTGATTGATGTGAGCATTCGCGTCAGTTCCCACATGTACCATAATTGCGTTTGCTTGTCCCATTTGTTCATCGAATTCCGAACGTAGTCGTGAATATTTGAATTTCAAATGAGATGCAGCTTCATTCGACATAGTCTGATACCTTTCCAACTCTTCGATCCTGTAGGTCGCACCTTCATCTTCCTGTTGTGCAGCCTGTAACTCGAAGTTCAGCATCTGGAGTTGTTCGGTCATCGACATCATCTCTTGATGAGTGGTGCTTTCCAGGAAATTAAATTGTTGATAGGCATATGCTGTCGTCTCGCTCAATCTTGCCTGAAGTACGGATTCTTCTTCAGTGGCCCTCTCCAGTGATGTCTTGTATTCTGCTAACTCACTCTGATAGGCAGTGAAGATGTCGCTACCACTTGACGGGGCGTTCACTTGCTGATAAGATCCTGTCCCTGATGGAGTAGCGTCCTGAATCGGTGAAGGCGGATTCGACGACGTAGTCTTTGCCTTAGTCCTTGGAGTCATCGGAGGCGACAATTGTCGTGCAGATGATCTTCTCTTTCCAGGTGTGCTGTCCCTATCTTCAATTGCTTGCATTGTCGAAATTTGTCTCCCTCTAGGAGCAACCAGATGTCGCCTGGGTTGGCTTGTTCTCAGTTCTGAGGCATCGCTTCCACCAGTGTCTATACCCTGTGAAGAATTTGACTGCGTGCCGGCAGCTGGTGCAACGGCATGTCCAGAGAAAGAAAATGCATTATCGCTGCTATCCTGTTCAGTCATCTGTAAGGCCCACGGCTACCCGCTCGTAGGCTCCGTAGGAGTCCTACGGCTGATAACCTGCAAATCGGGGATTGCCTGTCCGATTATATTCCAGTAATTGATGTTGATGTTTGTTGTTCCAGTGATGGCTTCACAACGACGACAGCTTCCGCATGGCGTTCCTTTTCCCTGTTGCTGCAGTGGGTCTTGAGCCAAAAGGGCGATTGTCACAACCCTTTGGCTTCGAGTCTTAGAGTGAGTTATGTGATAATGTACATTGGTCCGTAGCTTACACTCTATTTGCATGTATCATATATATATATATGTGTGTATCATAAATATATATATATATATACATCAAACATATATATATATATATCAAACATATATATGTGTATATCATACATATATATATATATATCATACATATATATATCATATATCATATATATATATATATTATCGATGTTCCATTGCCACGTTTGATTACCAGAGCGTAGGTTGGAAAATCGACATCAGAATGCAAATGGCCAATTGCGAGGGTCCACTTCCTCCATACCTGGTTCAACTAAAGTTGCAGCCAATGTAAAGCCAATAGCAAATCATCCTCAGTTGGTATACCCCTGGGATCGCTTGTCTTTCTGCTGGCTTACCGCATTCTTCATCACATGTTAATTTCAATAATGAGAAAAACCTAGGTCGCCCAAAAAAGAGACGTTGACCATGTTGCCGCGATCATGCCGGCATCCGAGCCTCTTGTTGACCAGCTGGCTGGCTTTCTTGTAAGACAATCTGGCCTGTTGATGAGCTGCCTGGTCCAGCCTTAGCGTTGAGCTTGAGAGCTACAATGCCACTGAAGATGGTTCTACTTCAGTACAGGGAAAGTATGGATTTGTTTATCCTGAAGGGTGAAAAACACTTGCATACAAAGCAACAAATGATTTGCTACCAGGAACCGCGACCCTCAGGGCCCCAAGTACACCTATTTGATGCGTGCAGGTGAGCGGCCTGTTCTTGAGCGTGGTATGGGTCAAAATTAGGTACCCCCACCATTATTAACAATATCTTTGGGTCCCAGGGCCTTAACAATTTGACCCACAAGTTTGTTCTGGCTTCAAAGTCTTCCCGAGTTTGGCAACAGTCTTCATCTCCACATTTCTTCATCTCGAAATGCGCGTCTCGTCTGGCTTTGTTCTAGCGGGGCCAGGGCTGCCCTTTGGGCTGCCAGGGTGCATGAGTGGTCGCCCCAAGGGATGTGTTCTTCTCCGTAAGCGGAATTTCTGTCATTCCAGCGCTGGACTACATGAATCCGTGGATGTCGTGTGCAGATTATAAGTTGAAACAAATCAGAGTACGTATAGTGTTCTGGCTGCTGCTTTCAACCCATTTTGGGATCATTCCATTTGTTGGATGTAAAACAGAACATATCTAAAATTGAAGAAACAGATATACGGATTGTATAGTATCCCCACTAATGGAGGATACAACTTCATTGTTGCCCATGTTTGGATGGAACAAAGTCCAACCAATCCATCCTTAGTTGAGTGATTCCAACCCATGTGATGGTGATTCTTTCCGTTGAGAAATCTACACATATGTACCTATATTTCTTATGTATATAAGTCTATGCATATATTACATATAATCATCAATAATATTTGTTTGTATAATGTTCAACGATGACATGTAAAATGTAATATGTATATATATATAATCATACACATCCGCTGGACGACCTCACATGATGGCGCAATCCTCCTGTACTTCTCGTACCAAGGCGTTCCAGCCCGTGTCCAGGTCAAAGACCGCCTTGCGCATGGCGTCGTAGTCCCAGTCCAGGGGCACCGGTTTGTCCTTATCGAAGCCAGCGGGTTCCATGAGCCCCACGAAGCTCAACTTGGAGGCACCTGGATGTTTGAAAGAATGGAAAATGTCTGGGTGAAACACCAGGATTTGGATTTCGTCAGATTCTGTATTATAGGGCCACAGGGAAAAACAAAAAGGTCGGTTCAATGGCAAATGTTTGAGTTTCCATGAAAAAAAATGGGGCTACCCAATCCTATAAATTAAATAAGAATCCATCCAAACCTATCAATTTCTGTTGGTCAAATAGTCAAATCGTTCCAATTGTGGCGGGTGCCCCACCTGGAAGCTTCACTGGCTTGGCCAGCAAATGTCTCCGGGTCATTCGATGGGCGGCCACCATGACGTAGGGTTGGGAGGCATAACACCTGCACAAATGTATAAGCATTGACTGAAGGTATGTAAACCCACCCGAAATGAATGGTTTACAAATATCTGATTGGCGGCTTTACAAAGCGCCAGAAAAATATGAAAGTCATTTCGGATCATCATGCTGAAGATGGTCGAAAACTTTCTTGGAAAGCCACTAACCAGCAGGACAGGCACCAAAAAGAATCATCCAACGTCATTCCAAAAGACTTTTTGAAACACAAACATATGTATGTATGTATGTATGTATATATATATATATAATTATATTATATACATATAGTAATATCATGTCTATATAGATATGATTATATATATACGACATGCAATGACCCATTGGCCAGCATCCCACTTGGCCCCAAACCCCCCCCCTCGCCTGAAGATCATCCTCTCCACATGACTGGTTTCCTGGGGCAATTCTGCCACGATGAGATACTCCCCGCCCCGGTTCACGGAGAAGGCCACCATGGAGTCCCGCACGGGGAGCCAGTTGGAACGGCACACCAGCTGATCGCCTTGCGAAACGCCGGTGGAAGATGGAACAAATTGCGGAAAAAATATGAACAAATTGGGGAAAATTGTTGGACATTAAAAAAAAGAACAATCCAATGTATCTAATCAAGAATATGTATTTGGATTTAACCAGCAGTGATATTTGGATTTGGGGGATTTGACCTTCAAACAACAATATCTGGAGAGGTTTAACCATTGACAATTCACTTTCATCAAATATTCATGGTAACTGAGATATATCATGGGGAGATTACCAAGAGAACATGGAGATGTTCACCGCCAAATAGAGGTTCACCTGCAGCACTGGAGGTTTCAGCACAAAAAAATTGAGTGATTTAACGAAAGATTGGGGAAGAATCAAATAATTTGGGTCTAAACGTAAAGAAAATGGAGTTGCCGACCAAAACAAAGTACTGTGGGTGAGCCACCCACCCTGAACTCAGAAATAGGATAAATAGCCTATACTAACGAGGGTCTTTCAGCAATTCTGATGTTTTTTGTTGGTTGAGTGGCCCCACAAATGGATGGAGCTTCATCAGAGTTTGAGCAAGGGTCCCAAGCAAGATGGGTTCCCACTCCTAGAATAAATCACCCAGATGCTATGCATTGGTTGGGTGATATCTGCTATTTTTGGAAACCCGCACACTTTTGCTGGGGGGGCCTAGCAGGTGCCCAAACTTTCTTGCGATCCAGCCGGTTAGTTACACCTTCCAGACATGCAAAACAGCTCGGGTCATTCACCATGGAGTGCCTGTGGAGAATCTCCATAAGTAGACGGCATCTTGGATCTCATGATGGCGTCTCTAGGTTTACCAAGTGAACGAATCGTTTCTGATGGTTAGTTCCCATAGTGATTCCCCATGAACCTCAGCGACATAAGCCCCAAGAACCATCCTTTGTTGCTGAGATCCCCATGTTTGCAGGTCAATGTCAATCTCCACATCGCCAGAAAATCCCAGAAAAATCACGGATTCCGACCCAGAAGATTCCCAAATTAAGTAGTGAATTCATCAAATCGGAAGGAAACTGGTGGAAACTGGTGGATTCGCCATTGCCCCAGTGGCTGTAGAGGTTCTCCCCGTCCACTTTCTCATAGACCTTGCAAAGGATCGGCACCGCCTCGGGCCTGGGCAGTGGCCCGGCTCGATTGATCGATCCATTTTTTTCTCCGTACATAATACATATGTAATATGTATTCTGTATATATTAATCTACATATATATATATATATATGTATGTATGTATGTATGAATGTATGAATGTATGTAATGGTATGTAATGGTATGTAATGGTATGTAATGGTATGTAATGGTATGTAATGGTATGTAATGGTATGTAATGGTATGTAATGGTATGTAATGGTATGTAATATGTATGTAATGGTATGTATATGTATGTATGTATGTATATGTATGTATATGTATGTATATGTATGTATATGTAATGTATGTATATGTATGTATATGTATGTATATGTATGTATATGTATGTATATGTATGTATATGTATGTATATGTATGTATATGTATGTATGTATGTATGTATATGTATGTATATGTATGTATATGTATGTATATGTATGTATGTATTGTATGTATATGTATGTATATGTATGTATATGTATGTATATGTATGTATATGTATGTATATGTATATGATATGTATGTATATGTATGTATATGTATGTATATGTATGTATATGTATGTATATGTATGTATATGTGTATGTATATGTATGTATATGTATGTATATGTATGTATATGTATGTATATGTATGTATATGTATGTATATGTATGTATATGTATGTATATGTATGTATAAGTATGTATATGTATGTATATGTATGTATATGTATGTATATGTATGTATATATGTATGTATATGTATGTATATGTATGTATATGTATGTATATGTATGTATATGTATGTATATGTATGTATATGTATGTACGTATATGTACGTATATGTACGTATATGTACGTATATGTACGTATATGTACGTATATGTACGCATATGTAGGCATATGTATGCATATGTATGCATATGTATGCATATGTATGCATATGTATGCATATGTATGCATATGTATGCATATGTATGCATATGTATGCATATGTATGCATATGTATGCATATGTATGCATATGTATGCATATGTATATGTATATGTATGCATATGTATGCATATGTATGCATATGTATGCATATGTATGCATATGTATGCATATGTATGCATATGTATGCATGTATGCATGTATGCATGTATGCATGTATGCATGTATGCATGTATGCATGTATGTATGTATGTATGTATGTATGTATGTATGTATGTAACATGATTATATCTGTGCGTAATTACATGGGATTATATAGATATGTATATGATTTTTTTAGTTTCTATCCCTATCCAAATCTATCTGTAGACATCTGCAGCAGCACCAACACACGGATTGAATTTCCGCACCTCGCCTGCCAGGCCTCTTCATGAGCATTCGAGGATCGAATTGCTCAATGGAACATACCACCTATCAGCCATGGGCGTATAGTACAGGTATACCTCCTGTTGATCAGCTGGGAAATACTCTATGAATTATTTTTGTGTGTATTTAAGGCGGTCGGAGGTCGGCGAAAAAATCGGGATTCGATTCTTTGGTGGTGATTTTCAAGCCAGCTTAGAGTACAAATGTTCATTGGGAAAATCATGATATACCCACTGGATTTTAGGGTACCTTCTGTTGGGACAACCCCGGATGGTTCATACTCAAACAGAGCAACTCCGGCAAAAACTCGAGCAATTGCTCCTCCCCCCTTCAAACCTCGCAGGGCACGGCATGTTGTGGCACCGAAATCACGAATTCCGGCTCATTCATGCGCACCACTTCTCCAGGGTTGGCATAGATCCACTCGTACCAAGCCAACGGCTGCCCATCGGGCCCCACGTGTTGAACACCTGCAGAACATGCGCAGAACATGTGCCATCCAACGCTCGCTGGAAGATTCCAAACTCAAAAAAAAGACTCCCCCCCCATACCATCATCCAACCACCATCCAACCACCATCCAACCACCCCAACAAATCCAACTTTCCCAACCTCTCCGTTGAATCTCCTCCCCATCCATCATCTCAGAGTGGTGGGGTGACTCCGTCATTCCCGGGATCGCTGTGGCCATCGGCATCCCCGTGGACAGCATGCCACTAGCCATCAGCGACATCTCTGTGGCCGGCGGCCGAATGACGTCGAAGCGCGGCGGTGGCATCTCGGGGAGGGAGACGTCACCGGAGTTCACGAGGCGACATTCGAAGATGGTGCCGAAGTATTCATGGAAGTCCTCGAAATCTCCGATTCATAGGATTTCCATGGATCCACCATTGAGAGAGTTGTCTACTGGTGGAGACAAGCTTGGAAGAAAGACACAGTGGATGAAAACGAAAATGTAGATTGGATTCTCACCATCTTGGGAAATGAAGCCACAGCTTGTGGTGAATGCTCTGAGGGGTTAGCTACCTGAAAATATGGGGCATAGTTTTAACATAAACACCAAACAGCTTCTGTATGTCCTTTTTGAAAAAGCAGCAGGGCCAGTTTGCAAGGGGCAACCTGTTTGTGTCCTCATCATTCCAATTCCATCACTTACCTATTGCTTGTCAAGAATTGGGAGAAATTGGGAGGGTTACCCATTGTTTCTCATCAAGCAGTGGAGAATGTGACATAGATGTGATCAAAAACTCTGGTATTCTGGTGTGTGATCTCAAAAAGGCTGGGCGTTGTGGATGTCCATCCCCCATTCCCGTGGTCCCATAGCTATTGACCCATCAAAATAGGGTACCCCCTTTCCATCCTCAGTTGACCGATTTTCCCCAATTGGAATGGCCATATTTATTTGGGGGTAGACTGGGTAGACTGGTAGACTTTCCATTGACTTTCCATTTTCACACCCATGTCCTCCGCGCTGAGCCAAAAGAATCCATCCTCGCGCTTCTCAGGAAACTTCTCGCAGTGCGATAGGCTGTACGGCACTGTGATGTCCTCAAGACCTCCATCATGGACCCCGGGACCACCACAGAAGACCTGGTAGTACAAGCCACCCTCCCATTGCACGGCGCGGTTCACTGCATAGGGATAGTAGGGGTTCAACCTCCAGGGTCTTTGATGTTTCTTTCGAAAGGTGGCAGCAGGCTTGTAAAAAGAAAGTGTTTGGTGAAACAGTTGGTTCTTTGATTTTGTCTTGCAAGCGGTGCAGAAAGAAATCACAGATGGAGTGGTCGGCTTCCTAGCGTTCCGTACCTTGTTTCAGTCTAAAACAAGGTGGATTATACTCTCACCGCGGGTTTGCAACTCGAAGCACTCTGTGGCCCCACCTGACACCCTGCAAGTCGCACAGAGTTTGGCTGGGCCGGCACACGAACAAGGTATCGCGCTGCAAGTCATAGATGTAGATGAAGAGTCGGTCGGGGGAGACATCCTCGCGGCTGGTTTTCTTACTGGTTGAGGTATGAAAGTCTTAACCTACACCTTTTTCTCCAGTTGCAGTATACCGACTGACCCAAATCCCTTCCGTTGAAATTCCAACTTGAGGCAAGTTAGCACTTGCATGCTTCCATCGGAGGTATTTGCTGAGAATATCCATGACGTTGGTGTTACAAAAACATTCTGCGCGCGATGTCTGTCAAAAATCTACAGTCCATCTGTTAGTACCCTTTCTTTCCAACGTTCTCACAAATTCTCCACCAACTTTCATATGTTTCAAACATCTACTATCAACATACTGTGGATGGTTGCGAAATTTTGTAGCAGTTGGCAGATGGAAGAAATCCCATTTTGATCCCAAAAAAATTATAGTGTTTCATAGGAATCCCAATAGTTACCAACTCATCTCCCATTCATATTCCATTGCTTCTTCCACTAGATCCCCATTCTGTCCCCATTAAACATCATTAAACCATATCCAACCACCATTTTTCTCCCTGTTGCGTCCCCGAGTCCCCGGGCCTTGGTGTAGAAGCGCCCGGCCACGCCCCCCGTGAGATCCGCCAGGGCGTCCTCCACCTTGCCACCGCCACCAATGGCCTCCCAGCCGCCCATGTCGTCTTCGGTGATGGCACTCGAGGAGAAACGAAGGGTGTGGATCTTGGCATAGGCTTTCTCAATCAAACTGGGCCAAATCCTAAGCCAAATCCAAAACTTGAGCTGCTTTTCTGGTTTAAGGTTGACTGATGGCTTTTGACCAATGTTGGCTGAAAAGTCAGTGTAGATCATTCTCAGGGAATGGGAAGAAACCCTGGCGAGGGAAGTTGAAGAAGAATACTGACAATAGTGTGGGTGATCACCTGTGATAATGAAAACACAACTCATCAAATGTAATGAAGCTGGCCCTGAGCTTAGACCCACTCGCTTGAAAAAACACGAGTTGGGAGGACCGCAAGTTGCAGAAAAAACATGTGTGACTTTCTCGGACGGAAGTGTTGGAAGTCGCTGAAGGAGCCGAAAACAAGTTGTGAAGAACCGTCATCCAAGGGTCACATTGGGAAAGTGCTCAGAGCGGCAACAAACGGGCACATTGCCATCAGTGTCATTTCTCCCAGACCGTCCAACTGGAACAAAGTCATCCACCTGAAAGAGTCAATTATCAAGCGCGGTGAGGGGGAAGGGTTGGTTGTGTCACATGTCTTCATATGACATAGTGAAAGCAGACCGTGTGCATCAAAAACGCTTGGTACCCGGGTTTCCAACTCCCAAAAATGACCAGAACAGACTGCCCTTCGCAACGAGAATCATCCAACGCGCACCTACCAAATCCTTCCAAGGTCCACTACTCTGAGTTTCAGATCTACGATCGAAGCTTTCCAAGCCTCCACCCTCATCCAAGTTCCATGTTTGAAGAGACGTGCGATGTAAATACTTCGTCTGGTTTGCCAGGCATAGAAGAGTTGCTTCACCAACTTGGGTCGCAAGCTAATAGCCTTCCGGGCAGCATCTGGCTGAATGATACAAGCAGTAGAAATAGCTTTTATATATAATATTTGCATACAATATATATATATATATATGTATATATATATATTGTGGTATTACAGTAAAGATATTTGGTATTTCTAAGTACTGATATAAATTTTAATATTACATATAGCAATACGTGATGTATGGTTTTGTGGGCCAAGTTCAGTTTGTTCATCCATATACATACATATGCATATATATATGCAGATGTGTGTATGTGTACATGTCTAATGTATGAACCCATGTACATACGTATCATACCTATGTCTACAGCTCTTTCTTTGGCAGGAGCGACTCCGGCACGGCGCCTGTAAGGCTTCCACAAAGTAGCCTCATGGGGCAATAAGCCAAATAAGCCATGAAGTTGGATGGTTATAGTTATAGTAACTACAGTAGTTGTACGAACAATAAATATGATGCTTCGAGGTGGAATCTGTGCAATGCTGTTTTTTTGAGCTTCTGAGACTTAGGAAAAAAAAACTAAAACAGTAGATTCATCGAAAATCCAGCTGATGATCTTCCAGAAAGGTTTCAATGCTTCCAACTGATACGTGTCTTCCAAAGAATTCCAAGTGTCCCAAATCAAGCCACTATTCTTGAAAAAAAATCTGGCCCTCACCAAACAAGTCAGGTATAAATGATTTACCATTTCCCCTTCCTGACTTCCCTGTCATCCAGGGCGCCATTGTCCAAAGATCCCTGTAAGATGCGGCCGCAGTGTGTCTTGCAGCTGAATTCATCGAAGAGATGCACCGCATCCGCGTGCTGGGCAAAGTCCACCAGCCGGATCCAGGTGCTGCTGGACGTACCTCAACGTCGACGGAACGTTGCCAAAAGGGGTTGGGGTCAAGGGGCTCCACAAACGGTGGCAAAATGCTGGAAAAAGACTGAATCCTTAGGATTTTAAGGCACATCTTCTGCCAGTTTTGTAGGATAGAAGAAAGGATGACTTGAGTTTCCAAAACTGTTTATGTGGCAACAGTATCCGGCAACTCTAACAGCACCTCTTACAGAATTCGCGCGAATCACTGCGGCCATGGTTGCCATTGTGCGCAAAATTTGGCACGGCAATTGGCCACAAGGTCGAATGCCTTGGGACATGGCTGACCGATTAAGAGTGCTCCTCTGGTCGGAAGAGCCTATGTGGTACCAATTCTAGAACATCACTGCTATTTTCAACGATCCCAACAAAATTGCTAGCGTTAGCACCTGGTATCTAGCCTGAAATCTCAAGCTCAGCTCCAAGGCACACGGGATCATATTTGCCTCCCACATAGTACTGCTGGTCATTGGGTGGAAAGGGAACCAAGGCGTTGGACAGCACCGTGCCGGTGAGACCCAGGTCCGGGAACTCATGGGGACTGTTCACCCAGCGCCCATCGCGACAGTTGCCAGCAGTTTCTCCTTAGCAAAATCATGGAGAACCTCAAAATTTGGAGGAAAATCCACGTTTTTTTCCACTGATTTTGTTGATTATATTGATTGTATTGATTGTATTGTATTGATTGTATTGTGGATTTCGGTTTCGATAAACTTACAGAAATCCAAATCACTGACCCCCTAGTGCTTGGACCCACCGTTGGCGCGTTCTACCCACTCTCGCTGTCCTGGAAGCGGCCAGGGTGTTTTCCAATTACTGACAGTACACCACCAGAACCTCCAAAGGTCAAGACCCAGCGCCGGCCAGTCATCTACCGAAAACCTCCTCGTGGCCTTGGTTGTACTGCCAAGTGTCGCTGACCCACCGCGCTGCTGATGGATTGGATGTGCATCTTGGCCAGTTCTTCTTGCTCATAGCGATTGCTCTCAGCATGGAACCAGCCCTGGTCATGTAATTCCTTGGCGAATCAAAACACCAGGGGAGAGGTGGGTATGGGACTGGAGTCCCAATGGACCTGCCAAAGTGGTCTTTTTTTGCTGTAAACCATCCAGTTTGTGGGTTTGATAGTTTTGAACCATCCCCTTATCAAGGTCAGCTATGCAAGCAATCTGAAGACTGCCGCTGGATGGTTTCTTTGATCAGAAATTAACCCCGCTGTCCAAAATGATTACATTCATACATTTGTTAATAATGTTGTTCCTTTACTGTGGGTATATACATAATGGATATCTATATATATATACATATTCATATAACTCATGTAACTACAGTACGTAAAACCCTCCAACTTTCATATCACCTTGCTTCCCCATTCCCCACATGCATCGAGATGCCACCTTTTGATGAGAAGTGATCTTGGCGTGAAGCTGTCCTTCCTGGTCCTCCTCAACTACCGCGTTGTTGTCCAACGGCATGCCATCAGGGCCAAAGAGCACTCCATCCGCAATGGGAGGCTCTGGCGTCTTCACTGGGGCCTTTGCTTTTGGAGCCTCGGGAGCTGAAGGATGTTCCATAGCTAAAATCATCTACAGCTCGTGGTACAGCCATGATATCCCAGGCAGCAATATACCCAACAGGTGGATATTTGGGCTTAGCATCTAACCACAATCATTCCTAGACTGGAAAAGCTTGCCATTTGGAGATGATTCCCCAAAATCCTAACCCTAACTATCATAAACACGGGACTTGAGGTTGGGATAGGATCCTGCCTCAGATTGTTGGTTGGTCATATCATCTCTGCTGTTGCGAAATATATCTCCATGATGGATGGTCACATACCCATCTTTGCCTGATCCTTTTGGGGTTACCACACATCTGATGGTTTACCCACTTGGTTGTATCCCCATTATCTATAGATTATTAAATCTGAAGTCATTGATGGTGAAATCCTAATTTCGAAGCTAATTTTTTGATATGTATATCCTAATGTTTCTCTCTGAAATCCAAATGATTTAATCATTCATTCTGAAATCCACATACTTTATAGTTGAATCCCCATGTGTGATGGTCAGATGCCCCTTTCGATACTGGTTAGAAATCTCACGCATCCACAGGATATACCAAAATCTCAATCATCATACCCTCCTTGAAAGATCTATAAATACCACCATTTACTAAAGTTTAGATCATGAACCAAAAAATGTTTCATATTCCAAAAATAAACAAAGAAACTAGCAATAGTAAATAGTAATAGTATATAATGACGATAATATTTAAAAAAAAAAAACGAGACTTGTTCATTGCTATTGTCCCCCAATATCAAATACAAACAGGGGAGCATTTCAACTGATTACAAAATCATATCCACCAGCTAGTGCGGTCATAAGGTGGTCAACAGCCCCAACCATGAATAAATCCACCATAAATCCCAGTTACCCTCTGGTGATTTCACAGTTTGCTATGGAAATTTCACATTTGGGATACCTCAATCATCGAACATTTCATGGGCCATGGCTTCGAGTTCGCAAAGTGCAACAAATTACCGGAGGGTATATGGCTTATGGTCGTGCATGCAATCATGGGAATCCACACATCATGGCAACGTAAATCCCTGTGAAAATGAATTGACCCCCATCCCCCAAGATGTGAGAGCCATTAGCCATTCGTGCTAGTGTCAAAACATGCTATATATATATGCTATATATATCTTATGATCATCCATCCCATACGAATACTTATACTTAGAATCCTAACATTAAGGTCAACAAAAAAACCTATTCCAAAATGGATGGATTCTTCCCATTCAGATTTAGGATTTTCCCCATGTGACCATGTCACCCAACTTCACCAAGCCGCGGTCATGGACTCGTTGCCCGGAAAGGCCTGGGACTTCCCCGGCCGCTTCCCCAGGGCATCGAAGTCCCGGTCCATGGCACTGCGGTCCACCACCTTGGTGTCGCCCAAGGGATCGGCCTCGGGCAGCTGAAGCCATGCGAAGCTGGAACCATAGCATCTTAGGTGTTGATCATGTTTTTTTGGGGGGGAGATCTATGATAATTGGGTTGCAAGTATAAAATTGTTGCGATTTAGCCTCAAACATTTGGGAGGGGACAGCTTTAACAATCGAAATGCAATGGGTTTCAATCTGAAAATTAGGATTGAAGCATTTTAACCGAAAGAAAATGATTTGACTGATTTGACCAGGAAAAATTGGGAGCTAAGCATCAAAAATCAGAGTATCCGATTTCGAATCATGAACAAGGCTTCACCATGCAAAATAGGCAGGAAAGTACATAAGGGACATGCATCCTGGGAATCAAACAGCAATGGATTGCAATGGGGCAATTCTTTGTTCCTTCTGCCAGTCGTACCGCACAAGGCGGTGGCGGAAGTTTCAAAAATAGGAAACCTATAGAAGAGGTTGGTTGTTGCGAATCATGGATGGCAGAGCGAACCCACTCGTGGATCGAAAGTGGGTTGGAGTTGTGTTTTTTGGGGTGGTTGCAATGGTTGCAGTGGTCACCTCACCACAACTGCTGGATGTAGTGTGGTGTAGCGCAGTTGTAGTTGTAGTTCTAGTGTAGTGTAGTGGAGCAGTAGTTGTAATGTAGTGTAGTTACTGCAGTGTAGTTGCAGTTGCAGTTCTAGTTGTGGTGTGGTGCAATTAGTGAAGTGTAATGTAGCGTTGTGTACTGTAGTGTTGTGCGCTGTAGCGTGGTATAGTGTAGTATTACTGTAGCGTAGTGTAGTGTAGTGTAGTGTGGTGTGGTGTGGTGTGGTGTAGTGTCGTGTGGTGTGGTGTGGTGCAGTGTGGTGCAGTGTGGTGTAGTGTAGTGTAGTGTAGTGTAGTGTAGTGCAGTGTAGTGTAGTGTAAAATAATGTAGTTGTAGCTGTAGTGTAGCGTAGTGTAGTGTAGCGTAGTGTAGTGTAGTGTGTTTTCGTGGTAGTTGTAGTTGCAGTTGTAGGTGTATTTGTAGTTGCAATGTAATGTAATGTAATGCAATGTACTGTAAAGTAAGGAAATGTAATGTAATGTAGTGTAGTGTAGTGTTCTGTAATGTAGTGTAGTTGTAGTTGTATTTGTATTTGTAGTTGTAGTGTGCTGCAGTGTAATTAGTGTAGTGTAGTGTAATGTAGTGTGTATTGTAGTTGTAGTTGTAGCTGTGGTAGTAGTTGTTGTTGTAGATGTAATGTAATCAGTGTAGTGTAGTGTAATTATATAGATGAAATTAGTGTAGTGTAGTGTAATTAGTGTAGTGTAATGTAGCGTAGTATATTTGTATTTGTAGTAGTGTAGTGTAGTGTAGTGGTAGTTTTCTTCTCTTCTCTGACTCTTCCCACCTCTGCTTTTTCATCTGTCCATATTGTCGGAAGTTTGACTTCTGAACTTCCTTAGATAAATGGATACAAATGGCATGTTTTCACCAAGGTAGATTGCTGGAAAGTATGCAGGATAGGAATATCATGGGAATCATGGAATGTCTCCTGCCTTTGGCATTCCAACCTGTTCTTATCGCCCCATCATATCCCATGTGCCTTGACATTGTACTTCTTGGTGTCGCCAAGGACATCTCCTCCAAACCACATGGCCGGCTGGCTGCAGGGGGTTGCAGCTGCCGGATGCTTCACTATCGAAACATTCAAATAAAGTCTGGAGCCAAAATGGCTGCAAGTGATGAAACGGTGGAATTTAAAGCCTGGATGAATTCAGACCTTGGTTGATACCGGGGATCTGCGCGGAAAAATGTGAGATTGATAGAGGATATTTCCTGGTAGTCCGGCTATTTTTATGGCAGCCCACCAAAGGTGAGCCACACTTGGTCTCCACACATGAAGACATCCACATGACCTGTCTCCTGTGGCACAACCAGGATGAGTTCAGGCGAATTTTTCGCGGTGAACCCCCCATCTTTATGGATCTCAAGATGTTTGTTCATCCAGCATTGTTGTTCCTCAAAATCCCCATGTTTGCTTCTTCAAACTCCCTTGTGATCGCGAAAAATCCCGCACGGGTTTGTCCAAGAATCATATCTCCTATCATCATGTTCGCCATTGAAGTTGCCTCCATTTTGCTTCGTATTAATTTAAAGGAAAAACTAGAGAAAGCCATCGCCTTTACCCCTCAAACATCATCTTTTCGGGTGTCCTCCTTTCGAAACAATAAGTCACCGGATCCACTTCTGGGAGTCCACATCTACATCTTCTTTCATCTCATCCCGGAAGCCAAGCTCCTTATTGGTGAGGCAAACCCAAGCTCCATCATCGGAGGTAGCCAGGGCACCAGCACACATGGCCAACTTCACCTGAGGGGTGCCGTTATCCAGTTCCGGGGGGATTCAATTGGAATTCCGTACACCAATGGGCCCCCCAAGTTGTGACATCTAACGATATGTCCAACATAAATCTGAGCTGGCTTGTAGCCAGCTTGTCCCTCTAACACGCCCCTGCTTGAATGGAAACTCTCAGTTCTGAGACCAGAGACATCCAGCTTTCAGTGGATCATGTGGCACCCAGTTAGGTTTCTGCCAAAGACAAAGGCTGAACCTATAAATGTTCAAGTTAGTTTACAACAGGAGGTTTCCTAAAATGGGGGTACTCTTACATCATCCTCCATTTTCCATTATAAATCATCCAGCCATTGGGGATCCCCCAGTTATGGGAACCAACCATTTCTGAGTTTTCCCTTATCACTTGTGGTTGTCTCCTACCTCATAACCACCGCAGAAGGACCATGCCTCACTGATGAGTTGGCTTCGGGCCGAGTTCAATAGCCAGCAGTAGACCTGCCAAAACCCGGCAGGTCGCAGGGAAGGTTTTCTGCAGCCAGGAATCATCAGCAAATCATCCTCATTTCTGTGTGCAGAAAACCACCACGGAGGTGTAAAATGCAAGTCTGGAGGTGTGTGGCGAAAGCATCTGTGACGAAAAACTTTTTAACAACCAAGTAACCAACTGGAGATGATATAAAAATGAGTCAATATAGATATCTACCCCAGACCATGGACCCTGAGCCACAGGTCAGTCATTACTCAAGCATTCACATTCAATTCTACCTTTCGGTAATCAAACATGGCTGGCTGGGAAATCCCCTAAAAATAGAACTTTAATGGGAAAATCATCTATATTATATATAGATGATTTTCCCATTAAAGTTCTATTTATAGGGGATTCTATATAGACTATATATATATATTATATATAGACTATATATATAATTGGGGGAATTCTCATTGCCATGATTACAACGGATTACAATCTATAATACCTTCTGAGCGGCCACATCATGATTCCGCAACAGATCTGGTCCAAATTATAACAGATCGAGAATTCCAAATGATGAAGAAAATACGTCCCGCGTCCACAGGAGGTAATTGTTTCCTTTTTCTGAGCGACATTTAGTTCTCCTATGGATCAGAGTCAAAACCCCTCTTGGTCTCTTGGTATCCAGAGCTCAAAATCATAAATGTTGGGTTGGGCAATAATTACCATGATTCTGATCATTTAAAATACTCAAAGTATCAATATGTCCATAGTCAAAATCCGCCCACACCGCTTTGGCGGTGAAGGCGTGCTTATTGGGGGGAAACAGCTACACTAAATGCTCAATCACATTTGTTAATATAGCAGTCGCTATATCAGCTTTAGCTGGGGGGGGGGGGCCAAAAACGGTTTCGCACCGAGACCAGAAAAACGGTTTCGCACCGAGACCAGAATACGGTGGTGTTTTCGACATTTTTCGAGGATTTTTGGGTGTCTGAGCGCAAGAGGGTATTGAAATGGAATTTTGGGTCATTTTGGTAGCTTTCCGGCAATGGAAAAACGGCCAAAAATGAAAAAAACATTGTACATAGCAAGATTTTGCAGGGTTTTTGGATGCCAGAGCATTGAAAACACTGCAAAAACAAGTGTTTTGGACTGACGTTATAGCAAAAAACGTGTAAATTACCGTATGCTTGACTGGAAACATTACAAAAACACTGTCAAAAGCAATGTTTTGGAAGGATTTACTGCCTTTATGGCAAAAAACGTGTAAATTACCGTCTGTTTGACTGGAAACATTGGAAAAACACTGTCAAAAACAATGTTTTGGAAGGATTTCTTATATATATGTTGGAGTTGGCTACCGGCATTGGAACATGGAAAAATTGAAGAAAACACTGTAAATAGCGGTATTTTCAACGGTTGGGGAGATAAGGGAATTGGAAGCATTGTCGAACATGATGTTTTCGACCGGTTTTATGGCGACAAAAGTGTAAAGTACCGTGCTTTGAAGGAAACCATTGCAAAAACATGGAAACACATTCAAAGAACACGGGATTTGGGGGACTATCTAGGCGTCGTTGTCTAGCTATTTGAAATTCCGCAGCTTGGAGAGCCTCCAAGGGAGGGAAAAGTGAAAATTCCATAGCTTGGGAAGCTGTCACGGCGGGGAAAAGTGAAAATTCCCTAGCTTGGGAAGCCCCCACGGAGGGGAAAAGTGAAAATTCCCTAGCTTGGGGAGCCCCCACGGAGAGGAAGAGTGAAAATTCCCTAGCTTGGGGAGCCCCCACGGAGGGGAAAAGTGAAAATTCCCTAGCTTGGGGAGCCCCCACGGGGGGGAAAAATGAAAATTCCCTAGCTTGGGGAGCCCCCACGGGGGGGAAAAGTGAAAATTCCCTAGCTTGGGGAGCCCCCACGGCGGGGGAAAGTGAAAATTCTTAGCTTGGGGAGCCCCCACGGGGGAAAACCACCCTTAGCCCCTCTCACGGACCGAAATAAACCTGCGGTGTGGGCGGCCACCCCACGCGAAGCGGGGTGAATATCTCATAATCACTAATGGTTCCTTGAGTATAGTCAATCTTAGATATCCATACATATCCTGCAAAAACTCGCCAAATTGTGACGTGCCACCTGGCCATCTGCCAACCGACCCATGACAATGCAAGTGCCCTGTATGCGCGACATAGTGACCTGGGGTCGCTCATACAGTGTCAGCATGCCCTGATGAAGGGACCTTGCCATCAAAAATGGGGGACCTTGACAGCAAGAATAGAATTTTTACCAACAAAATTCAGGGGTTGACTATCAAGAATCATGATATGCATCAATCAAAATGGGGAAATCAACAAACAATGGGAATATCATCCGGCAACAATGTGCGTATAGGTGAAAAATCTAGGCCCAGGGGACCACGGATATTTACCATCCAATTTGGGGGACACTGTATTTCAATCTTGACACATACTGTTATCGATTTGGAAGCTATAAGAGTAGTGCAAATAGTGCAATGATGCAAGAATGTATTTGTTTGATCTATGTATCTGTCTGTATACCAATGCGTGAATATTACATGCATGTGCATGCATGAACATGTGTGAGGGCGGCAAGCAATGATGGGATGTCACGTCCCAATACGCAAGTTTGCAACTACTTCCAACCGGACTTGACTGGAGCTCAACAGGCTCTACCACCAAAATCCAATCGTATAAAGTTTTATTTCCTCCTTCGGGGATAAATCCCCCATTTGCGGACAACCAACGGCTGTGCCGACCAACGTCCGTGCCAAGACACCATTGGCGGGAGCAAATCTTGCGAAGGAACTGACGCGCACGGAAAGTCTCCAAATATATAAATCGAGTGTTTATTTAGTCCTCACAATACACGTCTGCGTGCGTTTCAATAGAGAGAGAAGAGAAGGGTGGCAAAAAATGATGACATGCATTGCAAGCCCCTAAGGGATTATTCTGGAAAATCAATGACGTTCTGACAGTTTGGGTACTGATTCGAACAGTCTTAATTACCAAACCATTTTGGGCTATACGGCTGTCTGAAACTAGGATACTCCAAAATTGGACGGTCTATCATCATGCCTCGTTAAAATCAATCCAGCTTTGCAACCCGACAGCAGGTTCCTGGGTTCCTGGGTTCCAGGATTCCGTTCCGGTTTTTGGGTTTGGCAAAAAACCTCGCACCACTCCCAAACCCAGAGACTGAAACCTAACAGTCACTGCTGTCAGGAGCTACCGCTTTATGTGTATCCATTTTCAGACACATATGATGCTGCAATCACCTTAAATCCCGAAAAAAATAGCGGTTAAATTCCCGGGCGATATCTCCCTGGCAACCCGCAAGCGCAGCGCTAAAGCGGCGGCCTGCGGTGGGCGGAAGTCTCAGCTTTAGAGGCTCTTCGTGCTGCAGTTGCCCGTTGGGCCTTGGCCGAGTCGAGTCAGCCGAGGCGAGACCAAGAGACTGAACAGCTTTGCAGGGTGAAAATGTGTAGGATATCGTGGTGATTTACACATATCTATGGGTATCTAATGTGTATGTATGTATTTATATATATGTGTGTGTGTGTAGAATAAAGTGTTTCAATCTCTCGTGGACATCCAACATCGCAGGGGTTGAAGAATCTGTGATCATTGCCCCTTGAAGCCGTGGCCAAATGACCATCACGATGACGCTTTGCGGATTCACCTGACGTGGGAACCATTCTTCGTCAAGAAAACCAACGGGACAACCAGACTTGACTTGGGTATCTTATGTGGTCAGGGAACCTCCAGCAAGTCATTCATTCCCCTTGCAAAAAATGAGGTTTGGGTGAAGGGTTGGGGAGCTGCCGACTTTGGGATAGCAGATTAACCTGGATGGTACAACTAACCCGGCTGGTCAGGCATTGATCGTGGGCACTCGGGCTAGATCTGTCTGTGGGTTTGTCCAACCGTGTGAGGAACATTTTTTCCCGGAATTCCAGTGGTTGACCATCGTATTCCCCATTTCCCAGAATTGTTTCTTGGAAAATTGCGTAGAAACCGTTTGATTTGGGGGTTCAAAACCAGAGTTTCCTGTAATTTTTGCCATAAACCAATCCATTGACCATTGAGTGGTCATAAAATTCGGGCTGTAGAACCTGGGCCCCGCACCTGTGCCCCATCCTGCTGAAACCTCAAACACGCCTCACGGTGTGGGCAGGGGATACAGTGTGTAATTGGGAAACAACTGAATTATATAGCGATAAAAAAATGTGACTATCGCAAGCAAACTCACCAAGAAGTTGATAATTTATATTCGGTCAAAACAATAATAACATCAGTGACAAAAGAATCACCAAAGGAAATTTAGTAAAACTTCCGAATTACGGACGATGGCCATGGTTAGCATTCACACCAGCATGTCCACCACATCATCATGTCAACCCTATCATCATGCCAACCACACCATCATGTCAACCACACCCGGATATGTGTGGTCGAGTCCGCGCAGTTGACGCTGCACGAACGTGGGTCGATGTGATGCGACGCTCCTGCTATGCGGGTTTGCAAACGGCTGCGAAAAAACACATCGGCACGGCTGCGTGCAGCAAAGCTTGAATGATGCTGCGACACTCCTGGCATTCGGGATTGCAGCTGGAGGTTGCTAAACGCATTGGAACAGCTGCGAGACAGGTAGTTCTTGACCATAGTGACATAGTGCTACTCCTGCGCCATGCAGGATTGCAGCTGGAAGTTGCTCAACGCATTGTAACAGCTGCGCAAAGAAGAGAATTGGGTTGCAGAAGCTACAGAAGAGGTAGCTGGGAGGCAGCTCAGAGCAGCCCAAATAAGAGGCTGTTCAGAGAGAAGTAGTAGCCGAAAAAAGAAGCACCTCAGCGAAGAGGTCGTTCAGTGCAGAAGTAGCTCAACAAAGAAGTAGCTCACTCATCCATCCATCCATCCATCCATCCATTCATCCATCCATCCAACAACTCATGTGTTCATTCATTGACTCGTTGATATCCATGGATTCACTGATTCATTGCTGCGTTGGTTCATTGGTTCATTGCTTCGCGAAATCATTGATCCATGGGTTCATTGATTCGTTGATTCGCTGAATCATCGATTCACTGAGTCATCGATTCATTGGTTCGTTGATTCATTGATTCAACAACTCCACTCGTCCATTGATTCATTGACTCATTGATTCATTGATTCATTGATTAATTGACTCATCGGTTTAATCATTCATTGATTCACTTATTCGTTGATACATTGATAATTTTCATGCATTGGTTTATTGATTCATTGGTTCAATCATTTCATTGGCATCTCAACCACCATTTGCTCATTCGTTGATGCACTTCACAGCTTCAACACTTCATTGCTTCTGCATCTCAAAACATTCCTATAAGCCATTGATTTCTTAGAGCTGATTGTTTTTTTTTCGAAACTTCCGCCCAGCGCGGGCCGGGCACTACCTGGCAAGTACACTCACTAGTTGATTGGGTATTCGCATGTGTTCATCATACATCATACCCTATCATGTAGGATAACAGGATCCAACCTTTTTGCAATGAGATAAACTCAAAACACTCACAGTCCAACTTCCAAGAAACGGTACCCATTTCAGGAGTTTCCCCACTAAACTTGATCATTTCCTGGTAAAGGAAACATCTTCTGGTTGGAACCGATCGTTGCACAAAAATACTCTGGTAACACCCATCTCTCAACATGGGTCTCAAAAATAGGCTACTTCCAAAATCTAGTGGTTCCGAAATTTGGAAAATCAACATGTCCCCCATGTCCTGGCAATTTTAGGGTGTAGATCATCATTCTTTTCCCTTAATTATCATTCCCCTTTCAAAATCACAGGTTTTCCAAAGAGCGCTCTGAGCGTCTCGGCCGCCACCGTTCCAGATTCCGGATTCACGGCCACGTTATACACGCTGCCCTCGTTCCTGGCCGATGGATCCCAATTACGATAAGATCCATATAGGATCAATAGCATATTGGAATATGATGGACTGAGGGGAACCACCCTAGTTTTAAGTCAAGTGCTTTGGGAGACAGTTACAGCTGGTATCAATTAGTCAACCAAAACCTGAGAATAGTACAGCTGGTATCACCTGGTGCCTGTTCGCAGTGGCCTACAGTTCGCCCAGTAACATGCCAGCATGGCTTTTGCTTCAGGTTCCTGGGATGCCAACTGTGTAGAATAAAATGGTAAAATCACTAAACCACTCGACTGGTTTGTGAAAGATTTAAAAAAAATAAAAAATCACTTAAGTCATTTGACAGTTGCTCACCTCAGAAAATCCATCGCACGCAGTCAACCGCCGCGACTGAGCCCGGAAACTTGAAGAACAGCGGCCGCTGCGTCTTCACGCTGTACCTTAGCCACTAATCCTGACGCCAGCCTCCCCGTGGAAATGAGTGCCGAATGAACCAACATGACCATATTTCTGCTTGGTGGTTTTGGAGATTCACCTTTCTTGCTGCACCCATCTTTCTGGTGAAGACATCAGGCAAACAACCACACGTCCTACCCTTGGCTGGAAGGTCCACCATTTAATTTGGAAAAGACTTAGATCTTGAAAGGGGGATTTCAGCTCACCATGCTGAAAGTCGGCGGGGTAAACGAACCCCCCAGGTCCATCGGTCAGCCAACTTGCTAAGTGCCCCTGCAAACCTACTCCAGACCTTGTGTCATAGACCACCTTGTCCCCTTCGGTGTCCTTAGTAATCGGATATTGTTCAGTGAAAAGAGAGTTCCAATGATTCATTGGGCTGGTTTTTGATGGAAAATCTACGGGATTGACCATGTTTCTTACCCCAGTTCCAAAAGGAGGTTTAACAGCAGATTTTCGCTTTCTGGGAATGATGTCCAAGGGAACAAGCCGTGTTTGGAGAAAAGCATGTCGACAAATGTGTGAATGATAGATGTTTTTTGCGGATGTTGAACTTCAGAAAGGGGCAAATACCAAACAATGATATTACTTCCCACCCACCTTTTTCCCGTTCGAGGTGCCATCAATGAATGGCCATAGATCAGTACGTATATTATACCGTACCCCATTTCCGAAACAAACAGTGCCATATTCTGGTCATCTGGTTTTGCTTCAAGGTCCTCAAAATCTGTGGTTAATATCCTGGCACCATTTCGAAGCAGGCCTACTCAGACCCCCGCGGCAAAATGCACGTTTTGAACCTCCTGGGACAGGGATGAGGTGACCCAATTTCCATGATGACCCCACATGAAGGCTAGTCACTTGCAAGGAAGGCCACCAAGTAAGCCCTGATGGTGAATCTTTAGACACGGTCCAAATAGGGACAATGTTTCTTTAAATGTCACCCACGAGATCTGATAGATAGCATCATGGTGAAAGCAATACATCTCTGCGGTTCTGGAAACATCTTTGCACCAAGAAATCAGATAAAATCAACCTCCAAAATCCATCCAATACTCAGAAAATCAAATGGATCAAGGCCTGACTCTCCAAATTGAAGGCCACCATCCGCTGGTCCATCACCAAGGACAGCAACTGTCGCGCCTCATGGGATCAGCACTTGAATTAGTTGGCCATCGGGCCGTGGTACCTGAAAATGGACGATCAACATGGACCAACCCCCAATTTATCACCAAATAATGGTGAAAATGAGGTGTCCAATACAAACATTAATATAAACCGTGGGATTTTGTGGGCTCCTAATGCTTCTATCCAACAAAACCATATGTGGCATGTGGCCTGCAAAAAAGCATGGGAATTGGAGTTGCACTGGTGGCCCCGCCTTTGCACTATCAGCTGCCGATAGCAGAGGTTGGTTGTCTGCACCTCTGGCAGAAAGCCTGAGGCCAGACCACTTACGTCAGCATGTACATAACATGCATGCTTGATTGCCAGTATCACGATTGAAAAATAGCTATTGATGCTATTGCATCATTTATAGTGGCAATCAACTTTATATCGCCAATTTCATCTATAGTGGCTCTTTTTTTCATCATTTCACCCCAGCAGCCCCAGTTTCTGGGTGCCCCAAGCTGTCCAAAGACTTGCTTTACCAGGTCCATGGGTGTCCGGTTACTGGCCGCTGGGGGGGCTCCACTCTCCAAAAAGATACCACGGATTTTCGCAGGATCTGATTTTGTCGACTCCTATGGTATAGGAAAACCAAACATGTTCAATAAGACAATCCGCACCAGCCAGGAAACTATGAATCTGGCCCAACGGTGGAAACTAACAGCCAAGATGTGGATCACATACTGCTCAATCCTTCATTATATTCGTATCTTTTCTGGGAGTTGCTGTATTATTGAAGTGGAAAAATACCAATAAAAGGCGATGGATTTACATACTAGGGACTTTGGACTAAGGATATTCCTAAATTCCTTGTCAATGTGATGCTGTGTTTTTCATTACGATCCGCGCAACTGAGCTCCTGGAATCTTTGGCATCCGGCTTTGCATTGCTGCACAGCCTCGACCGAGCGACCGTCGGCATCCAAAGGTCCGATGTTGAGCGATGTTGAACAGCTTGGTTGAGGAGCAACAGTATGGGAGCATTCCAGTGTGTGAACTCTATACATACATATATATATATATATACATATAATATACATATATATAATATACATATATATATAATATACATATAGACATATGTATAACCTTCCCCGCTATCATAGAATATGGAATTAAAATTTTGGCTTCCCCGGGCATCCCAGGAATTGAACTTGAAAACAGATACTTAGAATACAGTTGAAGTCAAAAACACTATACTTAGAATATGGTTGACCATATATGGATGTACAAAGGCTTCGAGAGCAAAGACCAAATGATGAGAAAAAGTTTCAACATGGAATGGTGGCATATTCTAAGATCTTTGTAGGTAAATTTGCCTGCGGAATTGAAATTTTGCATATACTATGATAGCGGGGAAGCTCATATATATATATATACATTCATATATATATATACATATATATATATATACATATATATATACATATATATACATATATATACATATATATATACATATACATACATATATATATACATATACATATACATATACATATATATATGTATATCTATATATGTATATGTATATGTATATAATTCATACATATATATATATACATATATGGAAGCTTCAGAGTGAGAGAGAGAGAGAGGTGCGTTTGAATGACGAAAAAATCTCCAGAGGTTCATGAACTCATACATGAGTGTCAAGTATCCAGCAATCGCACATTCTCTGTGAAGCGACACCAGATCGGGCACTGTTCTCAGCGAGACGCAGCATTCCAACCGCCACGGTGGGAATTCTTTGGTACCTCGGAAGAACTTGAGCTTTCCAAGGCTGAAGGGGCACTGGAAGCCCAATGATCGAAACAATTGGAAATGAAATATGTGTATGTATACATACATATATATATATGTGTGTATTTATCTATTTATTTATTTATTTATGTAAATGTGTATGTGATGTCACTCATCCATGATTTCTGTATACATATATATATTATATACATATATATACATGTGAGAGATGTCCATGATGTATATATTTATATATATACACACATACATGGAAATATATATATTATGCACATACATGTTAAATACAATATGCATCAATATGAATATAGTGTAATTACACATCCTGCATGTAAATCATGTACATCATGGTACGGTGAGCGGCACAGCTGAGCTTTCAAGGGCAAACTGGCGGTCTCTGGCGGCCTCGCCCCGTCTTTGAGCATCCGGACTGCTGGATGGCCACGTGCAAAGGAGTCTTTCCTTGTGCCATGACTGCATTCACATTGGCAGCGGCCTTAATGTCGGGCGTTTCAAATTGGAAACGTCAATTTTCGGTGTTCACTTGGCCCAGGGCCTGAAGCAAGTAGCCCACCTCTTCAACAGTTCCACCACTTTCCACCTGACCACTCAGAAGCAAAGAAACTCAAATTGGTACCAATTATATGACGAACCTTCAAAGAAATGCAGTACCTCAGTACCTAATTCTCAGATCGGAAACCCAAACCAATAACAACCCAATAATATATATATATATTCATAATTGCAACAAACCCCAAGTGTCCTAACTAAAAATAGCTCTCCTGTCCAGTACCTAACGCCACGCCAAGGCGCTGCAAGATGCAGAGGTGTGCGGAGGTATGGCGTACCTTCCTGAAAGTTGACCTGGCGAACCCAAGACCAGAGAGCTCTCCGGCCTTTGTTTTGGTGAAAAATCTGGAAAAAATCGTTGTTTGATGGGAGGAAAGCTTTCTTTTCATAATTCCCGTCAGAATTTACAAGAAAGAACTATGAAACCTGTTGAAGATCCACTTACTTTTCTCATGATTCACAACCTTTTGTGAAACATCAGGCATTCGATGTCACACTTCAAACACCGACTGACTGCAGTTTGTTCTCCACACATGGCAGAGACACATCTGCACGTTGTTTCAGCAATTCTTTCACCTGGATCCAGGCAAGGACCAAGAAAAGAGCTGGAAATGTCAACGTTTTGAGTCCTGAAACAACGCGAAGCAAACACTATTTGGATGTGGAAACCAATGTGAAATGTCAAATGTCAAATTGACTACCCAACTCAGACAGCAATCCAGCAAATAAACTGACCTGCCTTGGAAGTTTCGTGACGTTGCACGCATTCCAAGAGTTGCACATCAATGGCGAACTGTCCTCGTCTCCTGATGGGTTCGGCAATGCTCAGTCAAAACATCCACCAGATTCCTGCAGAAATGATTGGAGAACGCACGACGCTACAACCCTATCGGTAAGCATGACTGGCACAGCCGAACTCATACCAAGCTATCAACCAACTACGGAAGCTATATAACCAATCGAGTTAATGAATGTCTAGCTGACTAGTGTCTAGCTCACGAGGTGTCTAACTAATCAACCAACTAACTCACGCATGAACTAGCTCACTAGGTCTTAGGTGTCGAACTTACTAATCCCATCTCCCTAATAAACATCCCACAGAAAAGATGCATTAGTTAGGGTATTTACACATATTTGGGACCTTCTAACGTGTTGTATTGGGGCGACGGGATTCATCAACTGACCAACTGAACTGTTCCGAAACGCCGCCAAGGAACGCTTCCGCGGAGGTCTGCCTGTGGTCATTGTTAGTCTAAGGGTGTGTCTGAAAATGAGGTATAAAACCAATAATGTCCTGTTGTTAAAGGTGTAAACAAACCCCTCTATTAATCAACCAACCAATGGGAAAAGGACATCTATGTATAAAACTCTCCAATTTTTTGGGTCATGAGTCAAGTCCAAATGGTCTGTGACTCTTCACTAATTCTAAAAAGCGAACATTTTACCTGCTGGATGTCCCACAAGGTGGCAAATTGTTGTTGTGAGTTCTATATCAGGATCTATATACATCTATAGATATAGAATCACATGTATATCTCATCTATACACAGTCTGCCAATCAGTAGCATTTCCGCATTTCCTGCAAACCATGTCAGTGCCAATTACCGGTCCTGTGCTTATTCATGATTTTATGACTTTATGCATCTATGAAAATGGAATTTGGTGTCTTCATCATCATTTTAAATCCGGTGTTTCATTATAGATAATTGATCTCCTAATTATGTATGTATGTACAAATATATATATATATGCGTATGATATATAATATCTAGCTTAGCATACGTATGTACTTTATATATACTATATTTGTGCAATCTGCTGCAATCCTTCAGCCAGTATGCATCCTTCCAGGCCTCTCAAAGTCTTTCCGGTCCTGGACTGTTACCATTCATGAGGTTTCACATCACATGGTTCCAAGATCTTGGCCCTTCCAAACAATTTGAGCATTTTTGGTTCAATTCCGCATCATGTATGTGGCCGGAAGATGCTGGAAAGACTACGGGGAGTCTTACTTGTGACGGGTTGCTTCTCCAGTCACTTTGCTACCAAACATTTTTGGGCTTTGTTGGGTTTGACTAAGAGTGGAGTACCCAAAAATTTCCCGTGAATGGATGGCCATTTGAGGGGCCCATCTCCCATTTTCAGACAGACCCATATCATTTTGTTGGTATTTGTTGGTTATCTACACCCGATGATTTCCCCATGCAATGTACCGATTGAATTTCCCAATAGTTCCCAATTCAACTGTAGGATACAAAATATATATGTAAATATATCATATATCCACCTGTCGACCCAGACGTCCTGAGTCACCTGGGTCCCGCTCAGGGACGAGGTCAGATATGCAGGAGCCTCGATATCGTCAGATGGTCCGCAAATGTTGAATCATGAGTGTAGTTTGTTCCTAAAGCTTTGGTGGTATCCCCAACAGCTGCAACGGTTTATTTTTACAAATCTTTCTGAAGCGTGCTGCCAAGCAAAGCGCTGGAAACACCTCAGCTTGGTTTCCGTGAGTTGAAAGGCCGTGCAGGCCTTCTCCGGAACCTTCTCCGGAACCCTGTTGAACCTGACCTGTATGGCACTGAGATATAGGTGAAGCGTGGCGTCAGCCCGCAGTGATGTCACCCTACTGGCGGCGCGCTTTGCCGACAATCGAGCCCCCGGTACAAAATGGGAAATTGACAGTGAGTGCTCTCGGCGAAGCAGTTTCAGCACGATAAAAATTGAGAGGTGCAGTAATAATCTGATTGAGCCGGGTGTGATGCTCAGCTTTATCTCCATAGGAGCGGTGCGAGTAGTCTTAGAGGTCATCACCCCGTCTGAGAAGGGCATCACTGCTGAACGGTGGAGGAAAGATGCCACGGTGTGCCCCCGCAACTGGCCCACCGATTACAGCTTGCTGCGTGGGTGGTACCTTCAAGGAAGTGTGTCTCAGTTTGCCCTCTCTCAACACAAGAAAATCGGGCACCGACACATGTTCTCCGAGTGGACACTTGACCTGACTAGACTAGCAAGCCGTGTTTTCTTCCCTAGGCCTGCGGTGTGGCTCTCACAGGTAGCCATCAACCCCCAATGGGCCAACTACGATTTCCCGAACCGTGCTCTGAAGAAGGTCAAGCAGGCTGAGATGGCCAGGCTACTGCTGCCAAAAACAAAGCTAACTCTCCTGCCATCTTCGTACTTGACACAACGTGGCAATCTCTACTCGCAGAGGATAAGAGGATGTATGGTCGCTACTCTCCCCAGACTGCGGCGGCGCTGAATCTGGACCGCTTGGACATTCTGATAAGATCCCGCTTTCCCTTGTTGAAAGAGGGGTGCAATTTTGCTAGCCACCTAGCAGGGAACCAAGCGAAATTCGGCTGACCACAGTAACCCCTGAGACAACCGTGAATGCTCTTCCTTGACACTCTCCGCACCACCTGCCACGTTCACCTCTTCAAGCGCCACTTCAACGACGCCTACCTCTTTGTCTAAAACGGGCACTGGCGGAAAGGGTGTGACAGGTTGGGGCAACACGCCTCCTGGTCTGGCCTTGCGCATGGCGTAGCAGGTAGCAAAAGGATTTGGTGCCATGCGGTCTTCCTCCAAGCCCAAGCCAATGCGCACACGGTGCAACAGCATGTTCAACTTTGGCGTGGCCCTGCACCGGGAGGCCAAGCACACAAGCGGAGTATGCAGTCTACCAGCTTTTTGCCACTGCGATCGGGTGGAGTATGCCTGAACTGACTATGCACCAAAGCCTCCCGGAACCTTCTGCGGAACCTTCTCCGGAACCCTGTTGAACCTCACCTGACTCTCCACCAAAGCCTCCCAGACCTCCGGAACCTTCTCCCGAACCCTGTTGAACCTCACCTGACTCTCCAGGACCCTGTTGAACCGGACCCGGCTCTGCACCGAAGCAACCTTCTCCGGAACCCTGTTGAACCTGACCTGGCTCTGCACCAAAGCCTCTCCGACACCAAGGCTTCGTGGAACCTTCTACCTTCTCCGGAACCTTCTCCGGAACCCTATTGAACTTGAACTTATTCTGGCTTCCTGGAACCTTCTCCGGAACCTCTCCGGAACCTCTCCGGAACCCTGTTGAACCTGACCTGGCTCTGCACCAAAGCCTCCCAGACCTTCTCCGGAACCTTCGGAACCTTCTCCGGAACCTTGTTGAACCTCACCCGGCGCCTGCACCAGTGCACACCGGAGCTATTCTGGGCTGAAGACCCCATTAGCTTACGCTGTTGGGGAATTTTGGGAAATATAAGCTTCGGTGGTATCCCCAACAGCCACAACGTTTTATTTTGACAACTATTTCTGAAGCGTGCTGCGAAGCCAAGCACTGGAAACACCTCAGCCTGCTCCAAAGCCTCCCAGTCCTTCTCCGGAACCATTGAACCTGACCTGCCTCTGCACAAAGCCTCCCGGAACCTTCTCCGAAACCTCCTTCTCCAGAACCCTGTTGAACCTGACCTGCCTCTGCACCAAGACCTCCCAGACCTTCTCCGGAACCTTCTCCGAAACGGCTCTGCACCCAAGCCTCCCGGGCCTTCTCCAGAACCTGAAACCGTTGAACCTGACTTGGCTTTGCACCAAGGCTTCCTGGAACCTTCTCTGACCTGCCTCTTCACCAAAGCCTCCCAAACCTGCTCCGAACTTGACCTCGCTCTGCACCGAAGCTTCCCAGACCTTCTCGGAACCTTCTCCGGAACCTTCTCCGGAACGCTGTTGAACCTGACCTGGCTCTGCACCAAAGCTTCCCAGACCTTCTCCAGAACCTTCTCTGGAACCCTGTTGAACCTGGCCTGACTCTGCACGAAAGCCTCCCAGACCTTCGCCGGAAACCTTCTCCGCAACCGTGTTGAACCACCTTCTCCAGAACCTTCTCCGAAACCCTGTGACCTTCGCCGGAACCTTCTCCCCAACCTTCTCCGGAACCTTCTCCAGAACCCTGTTGAACCTGACTTGGCTTTGCACCAAGGCTTCCTGGAACCTTCTCCGGAACCCTGTTGAAGCTGACCCGGCACCTGCACCAGTGCACACCGGAGCTGTTCTGGGCTGAAGACCCCATTAGCTTACGCTGTTGGGGAAAAAATCATGGTATGAATTATTGAAGATTCATGGGGAAATGATGGGAATATGATGGTTATGAACATGACATTCCTCACTAAAAATGCCATGAATTGGGGTATCCCTTGGCACCTACAATAGCCTCTTTGAAATTGGAGTCCACTGGGCAGTTAAAAACCTCATAGAAAGATATGACGTAACTATTTTCAAACATGGACTGGGCATTCGAGTATTGCAGCTTGCCAAAAGATATGAAGGTAAATTACCACTGTTTTAGTAGGCTTTTACTTTTCTATCCTTTTGGGGCTGCTACAAGCAAAGTGATGAAAAAACTACTTGCAAACATATAAAGAACTGCTTGACAAGTTAGTGCATGGCTCATTGGAGAATGCCTTTGCAACAGAGCCAATGACCTGCATGACTTTGCAATCCTCTACATCAGAATGACAAGCATACCGCTTATCACCATCAAAATCATCAGTAATCACCGTAATCAACCTCATCATCAGTCATCACCATTGAAAATTCATTTGTGTTTCTGCCTCGCCCATAGCCTCCCCTACCTCTGAGATCATCGAAAAAATTGGCCCACCACTGGGTCACGGGCCGCATTGGCTGGAGTCTCAGGAACCTTCCGTGGCGCCGTGGACAACCCAACTTTGGACCAAGGACCAAGGTGTGTTCAATAAAGGGTGAAACCATCGTTCTTGTCATGTCGTATTCAAAGACTTCGCAAATCATCGGAGCGGCAAGCATCACTGCGTAGCGTCAAGACGACAAAAGAACAGCAACTGAGCAGCTGTGTGCACGACCTGCACAACCCCTTGTGATATCAACCTCTGCCAGGGTTCGTTGAGATCCCAACACTTTGCGGCTGCGAAGCTGGGGGCGCCCTGTCATACGATTGATGGTCAAGCACCATCAAGGGGGCGGATACTGTTCTAATCGAAGGACTCGAAAGCCTGTGATATGGTACACATTGTGTGGATATAGATATAAAAAGAAACTCGAACTAATGACTCTATATCACTCTAAACTGCCCGAAAAATTATCCAAAAATCCATGCCTCAACCGCAGCAAAATCCCACGCATTCGCACCTTCCCTGCGACTTGGGCGCCACTGCTGCACCATCTTTCCTGACTGCTGTGCCAGCCACGGCCCCCTTGATGAGTCAAGATCCCTATGCAGCTGAGGCACTGGATTTCAATGAGTTGCTGAAGCAGTTGGGGTAGAGACACACTCACCTGAGAGTTGGACCGTGGGACCGAAGAACCTATGGAATCTAAGACCCTGGACACCTGTCGGTTAATCTGAGTGAAGATGTATCCATGCCAGGGCGATTCTGGTAACGACTTCAGCCAATGGTAATTCGAAGAGTCGTGTTGGGATGTGGGGGCATTGATTTCAATACACTTGGTAGCATGCAACATCTTACACTACAACACATTGTCTCTTTCTTTAAGCTAACTCCTGGCTGAATTCTGCCACCAGGGAAACATGATTGACTGTCCACGGGCCAGGGACAGGACCGCAAAGCGAAACGAAAGACGTTGTTCCTGGGCCACGTACAGATGAGCGAAGACTAAAGTGGATATGGATCAATTCATCCTGCTACCCATTCAGTTTACACCCAAATACTTGATACAGCTGGATGTGAATAGCCTCCCCAATGGATTCATCCACAAATGGTCTGATAATAGGGTACCCAAATTAACATCATATTTTTTCCTATATAATAAAAGATCGTAAACTCTGGGAAAATATGGCGAACCTTTGCTTGTTGAGCCTCGAAGTTCCTCCCACCACAAGAAGAATCAAGCAAAAGATGTTTCTGTTAATAACACATTTCATCCAAGAAAATATTTTGCCATTGCAAAAATTGTTTGCGCTAATATGTTGTTGTCGCGGACTGCGTAATCTTGAAGCACCCACAGTTTGGGGGACAAAAATCTGCATCATGTCGCACCGGCACTGGGTCAACGTGACAATTTGGTGCCTGCGTCTGGGGATCAAAAGCGACTTCCACGCCATAACTTTGCGTGTTGAAGCACACATTCACTGGTCCCTCCTGCAATGCACACAGCAATTGATCCACACACCCATGCCGATTTGAAAAATACTACCCATTTCACCTACGGAACGAAGTTCAGGTTACAAAAAAAATGTGTTACCCAAAGTTTGTTCGAATTGTTTCACTGCAATTGCGAAATGGGAAAAAATAAGCTTCGGTGGTATCCCCAACAGCCGAAAGGTTGGATTTTTACAAGTCTTTCTGAAGCGTGCTGCGAAGCAGCCTCGATACACCTCAGCTTGGTTTCCGTGAGTTGAAAGGCCGTGCAGGCCTTCTCCGGAACCTTCTCCGGAACCTTCTCCGGAACCCTGTTGCGCCTGACCTGGTTCTGCACCAAAGCCTCCCCGACCTTCTCCGGAACCTTCTCTGGAACCTTCTCCGGAACCAAGCCTTCCTGGAACCTTCTCAGGAACCTTCTCCGGAACCTTCTCCGGAACCCTGTTGAACTTGACCTGGCTCTGCACCAAAGCCTCCCAGACCTTCTCCGGAACCTTCTCCGGAACCTTCTCCGGAACCCTGTTGAACGTAAGGTGGTTCTGCACCAAAACCTCCCAGACCTTTTCCGGAACCTCGTTGAACCTGACCCGGCGCCTGCACCAGTGCACACCGGAGCTATTGTGGGCTGAAGACCCCATTAGTTTACGCTGTTGGGGAAAAATGATACCTGGGAAGTTCTCATGGTACCGGAAAATTTCAGACTTACATGTTCAATGAATTGTCCTGCACCATGGCGAAAAACGAGCACAAAGCGCGTCGTCAACGTGTTTGACAGAAAATGTGATCAAAAATGAATGTTGTCAAGTCTCATGTGGTTGCTGCGTCACAAAACATGATTTTTGTGTTTGCGGGATTTTTTCACTGTATGGAAACATTGCAAATTTGAAAGCACTGGCTGCGAACTGCGGTTGAAAAACGGGAAAATTCACAGCAATGTGATCTGTTACATGTTTTTTGAAACATGAAAAACACCAACCACAAAAACAACAATCCAGCTGTTCTTGCACACACACACACACCGTGAAAAAATGCAAAACAAACATGCCCAGAACCAAAAAAAATATGCGGGCCACGCTTTCAATCCTACAAAACCAAAGAGCCTTGTTCATTTGTTGAAATCGCATGTGTTTGGCCATTCATTGGCAAATTGGTGATTCTCAATGAGGGAAAACCAAAAACCATATCGAACAAGGAAAAAACAAAATATGCCACAACCAGTATAAATTGTCAATCAACCTGCAAATCAATCTCTATTTCCATGTAAAGCCAAACATGTCTGTCAACAAAACAAATCAAGTTTGCCGCCCGGCGCCGCCGGGAACAAACCAGTTTAATATGTCATCTAATACAAAAAGTTCCGACTTGCTGGAATACATGTTGCTACGGAAATGGGCTAGTTTTGGCCCCCTGTACATGGGTTTGTCTGAAAATATGCGCCCTTAAATCCACACATTAACCATCATTGAAAACATGGAAAAAATCAAAAAAAACATTTCC